TCTGATCCCCTGCCAGGTTCGTTTCTCTCTGACCCAATTTGTACGAGGTAGTGGGTCAGACTACCTAAACTTATAGAGCGGCCTGTCCCCTGCCAAAATTATTCCCTCAGAACAAAACACGAGAAGGACTGAACCATCTAGACTTATGGAGCGGTACAAACCTCCTCGTTCAGAAACACGAAAATAGGAAAAAACCCCAAATAAAGCAAGGCAGCCCAAGGTACCTAAACTTATAGAGCGCCTTGGGTCCCTGAAAGTCACTCACAGTCAATCCCCCGCAAGTCAGAGCAGCCAGGACACCTAAACTTATAGAGTGTCCTGACCCTCCATGCAATTCACAGCATCAGGTCTCCCTAAACTTATGGGGACGTCTCAGCCTTCAGAGCTTCAGGTTACCCAAAATTATAGAGCGTCCTGACCCTCCATGCAATCCAAAAATAAACAAAGCGCAGGGCTTCCCTGAACTTAAGGGGTCCTCCCAACCTTAGTAACCCAGCCAACCTGCACACAACACTACCTTTCTTCCAACTGTTCCCCAAATGCATTCCCCTTCGTTCACAATCTGCCTTCAGTCGAACAACAAAGTTGAAACTGAGATTGCACATGCCTTCCTTTACTTAGTCAGATTCATGTTTTGAAAATCAAACTAAGAGTCAAAGTACAGGATTCACGCAGCATAATCAGTCAAACATAGAAGGATGTACAGATAGGGGTTGTAGCCGGGTTTATAGAGGGAGTCAGGGAATTACCACTCAGTTCCCTACCTCCAGGACTGCTCATGAGTCCTGGCACAGCTCCCGCAATCGGTGGGGCGAACCTCCCACAGAGGCCTTCGCGCGGGTTACAGGTTGCAATACCGCCTGCCGCCTTCCTCTCAGAACCAGCAGACTAGACTTAGAGTAAGAGGGGCAGAAGGAGAAACATTCAGTCACTCAGATACAAGGAGGGTGCTCTCAGACTCGCAGGAGAGGGCCTTAATATCTTCAGCACCTGAGGGCCCCGCAGTGGTGGCCAAAACACGCAGCCGTCAACCAATCCGAAATCAAGCCGCCGGATACCGACCTTCTGCCAACTCCTCAAATTGTGCTAGTAGCCCCACTGCAGCCTAATCACCCCCAACAAGCCTCGATGCCGTGGTGTGCTTAGCACCCCATAGCCGTGACCGAATCATGTCACGGCTCGGGCAACCAAGGTCAAAGCATTAGCTATTGCCTCCCTGATCACCCTCCGACCCCCAGCCATAACCTCCTTGACCGTCGTACTCCACCCCTTGGTCGAATCGTAGCCGTGCAACAAGTGACAGGTTTAAATGCACCAGGAGGCGCAATCGGGCCGGCTATGCGCAGCAACCGCAGCTTGCACAGGGGCAAACACAGTCCACGACTGCATTGAACGGCTCTGGTGAGCCATACACCACCCAACAATCAGCAACAATTCGCATACAATCGCAGGCAGCAGAACCACTTTGTGCACAGTGCGCAGCAGTAGGCCGTAGCTAACAGGACCCCCTCTCTGTTTCAGCCTACGGGAGAGGCGGCATTCTGGTCAGCAGGCAGACTCCTAATTCGAGCCGGCTTCCTGCCCCTTCCCTCGGCGGGGCTGGCAACACCTCGGTCAACAGCTTAGCCACAGTAGTACCTCAAAATGACATTTGCAGCTCTCCTGACTGCAGCTTCCCAGTCAACCACTTTCGTCTGAGCGGTCAGCGGGGTCGAACCAATATCTCAACAATAGTTATAGTAACCTCGACAATTACGACACCCTTTAGTCGTATGCAGTAGTTAGGGCATCACCTACAACTCCCGTAGCTTAGTGACCACCCGCCCCCTATACCAGTTCAAGACGTTGTCAGTCGAGCTCATAGGCAAATAATGGCTCCCTCCTCAGGCACCTACCAC